CTCTCTCTCTCTCTCTCTCTCTCTCTCTCTCTCTCTCTCTCTCTCTCTCTCTCTCTTTGCAACCAGACCTGTGACATCATTGGTGTGAGGAACTTCCAGTGAGGAAGCTCCCTCTATGCTCATGAAGAGCCTCCATATATCATATAGGAGTTTGGGGTCAAGGAGGCCCTGAGATAGGTCTAGATTTATTTTGGTCAGCATGCAGAGTTGAAAGAGCCCTGCACCCATAGTCAGAAGACTCTGATTTGAGTTCTGGCTCTGACATTTCAATCTGTGACAATGATCAGGTAACCCAATCTTAGCAAAATTATTTCCTCATCTCCAAAATATGGATGTTACCTAATTGCCTAAGTATTACCTAATTATATTATTATTTAATATAATATATAATAACATCACATATTACCCATAATATTATTACCCAGTATAATATTATTATATTACCTAATTACCTAATTACAGGGGACAGTTGTGAGGAAAACTCTCCATGTGAGCCATTAGTTTTGTTGTTGAGTGAACCAGTAAAGCAATAGTTGCAAAATTCGGACTTTGGCATCAGTTCTTTTTTTTTTTTCCCTTCCTGCCCAAGAATCTAATAGTTTCTGTGTTTGCACAGAAGCCTAGGAGGTGGCTTTTTAAAAGAAGCATTGTATTTGTTGAATGGAAAAGTTTGTCTCTTTGGTCCATGAGCAGGCTGTAAGTCATCTTGGAAGTAATGATTACTGAGCAATTACTTTTTTAAAATATTAGATGCCTATGTCTGGGGAAAGCAGAGGTCTATGAGATCAGTCAATGACTTTATTGGGCTAGTCCTTTCCTCCTATAGAGTAGCACTTCAGGAAAGCAATTCTAATCAGAGCTAGTTAATCTGGTTGAAATGATAAAGCCTTTGGTGGCAATTTCTATTTCAAATCTACCAATAAACTAGGGATAGCTTGGCAAAAGCAGAAGGCATCCTTTGTGGACCTTAAAAAAAGATCATATAAAAATAAAATATACAATTATAGATTCATTCTCTCTCTCTCTCTCTCTCTCTCTCTCTCTGTTCTAATCCCAGTTTAGTCCCTTTTTCTGGTCTCTGTGAAATGAGGCCCATTCCAGCTGCAATATTCTGTGATCCAACAAATTTTATTGACACTGTGATAAAAAGTAATAAGATGTTCATTGAAACAACTAAAATTATAGGATGACATAGAGACATAAGGGTATGCTCTAACTCAGCATTTCACAAAAATTTGGTCTCAGGATTCCTTTACATTCTTAAAAATTATTGAGAATCCCAAAAAACTTTTGTCTATGTGGGTTATGCCTATTGATATTTACCGTATTAGAAATTAAAACATACATTTAAAACTATCACAATAAACCCATTATATGTTAATGAAAATCACACATCTTTATAAAAATAACTATCTTCCAAAACAAACAGTAAGACGAATGGTACTGTTTTATGAATTTTTGCAAATCTCTTAAATATCTGGCTTCATAGAAGGCAGCTGAGTTCTCGCATCTGCTTTAAATCTTTTGCAATCTGTTGTTTTGGTTTGAAGTATATGAAGAAAAATGGGCTTTATATATGTACATAGTTGGAAAAGGCAAGAGCATTTTAAGAGGCTAATAATATTTTAATGTCATCACAAAAATGAGTTTGACTTTGTGGATCTCCTAAATGGGTCTTGGGATCTCCAGGAATCCTTAGACTACCAGGGGTAGCGAACCATTACTCTCACCATTCAACCATAGAGAAAGATACCTGCCTCAATACTTCAAAGAATGATCAAAGGTACTTTTCTGGCTTTAAAGTGTATAATGGTTCATTGCGACAGTCCTGATGAGTAGTAGCTCCTTCCACAGTCAAGTTAGCCACTCGAGTTAAACCTACAGTTAAACATTTATTTGGGTTTATGTTGCATATATGTATATGCACAGGTGGGTTTGTATTCATGTGTATACCATTAAATATGCAACGATACAGCTGTCTTATTTAACTTACAGAATGATAGATATCAAACTGGAAAAGGCCATCTAGTCCAATTCCCACATTGTACAGATAAGGAAACCAAAGCTTATGAAATGTAAATGACTTGCCCAAGGTCACACAGGTAGTGTGAAATCAGAAATGGGATCTGAACCCAGGTCCTTTGACTCTAAAGTCAGTGCTTTCTACAGAGGGATGTGTTGGAGCCAATTCATAGATGCTTGTGAAAGCCAGCTGTTCAATTTACAGTGTGAGTATTTATACTTCAGAAACTGCAAATTCTACAGATCAGGGCTTGATCCCAATTTTACATTTATCTGGTATGGTTGTGATTGTAGTCAAGATAGAGTTCGAAAGACAATCCAAGAAGCTGCTAGAATTAATGGAAAACAGTATGTTGTGTATAAACATATATGTGTACACATGTAGAAACATGTGTATATACATATGTATGTATTTAAGTATGTATTTTTACACATCTATTTTGGAATGTTTTGCTACTAGCACATGCCCCTTGCTAGCAAGTTTGCCAGTAGGTTGCTTAGAATTGCTAGCACCACATCCATATCTCCATAGCATGTTAGGGTTTCCGTATCATTTCCCTCACAACAATCTTATGAGATGTTATCCCTACCCATAGTCACACAGCTAGGACCAGAGCCAGGATTTTGGCTAAACTCTCTCCTAACTCCAAGTTTAACACTGTTTCCACTGCAGCACTATTTCAAGGATCTCTGATTTAATCTGCATGGGTTTCACTGATGTGTATCACAACCCCTCCATGCCAGGTAAATGGGTTCATGAACCATTCAAGCCAAAAATTTCTCTTCAACTTCCCCAACTGAATCCCATATGTAATTAAGTTACTGACTCTGCAGGGGGCTCTAACATCCTAACCCTCTCTGTGTCTTTGTCTATATGTCTCTGTCTTTTTGTAGGAGCAATTTCATGGGGAACTGCCACTCCCATGGATGTTGTAAAAAGTCGACTCCAAGCAGATGGAGTCTATAACAATAAGTACAAGGGTGTCATGGATTGTATCTCCCAGAGTTACCAGAAGGAAGGATTTAAAGTAAGCAACACTGAAGTAAGACTTTGTGGGGTACTTGGCTTCATGTTGAAAATATCTTTATCCAATTATTAAGACAGAGGGCATATGGGAGATATTGCAATGTCAAGGAGTTAGGAATCTAATATGTATTCCAGGACAGGTTTCCTTGTGTGACCTAAGGCAAATCATTCAACCTCTCTAAAGCCTGGCTTTACCTAGTATGCTAGATGTGGAGTAAGACAGCCTGAGTTTATATTCCAAATCTGTAACTGACCTGGGGTAACTGACCCGAAGCAAATCACTCAGAGCCTGTTTTGTCATGTGAAAAGTGAGGGAATTGTACTAACTGACCTCTAAGGCCCTTTTTAATTCTAAATCTTTGATACTGTGATTTTTTTTTAACTGGGGAGGGAAGGAAGAACTCTGAACTTGTGATATTGCCTAATAATTGACAAATATGATCAAAGAAGATTTATTGAGATCCCATTCTACAGGAACAAATGAGATTAAGCATATAAACTGCTTTGAAAATTTTGAAGTGCTATATCCATATTGGCTATTATTATCACAAAGCAAAAGATAGGTGAGGCAGTTCGTAGGATTTAGAGTGGAAGGGGCCTGAGAGATCATGAGTGCCTACCCCCTCATTTTACAGATGAGGAAACTGAAGTCTAGACAGATGGGTACAGCAAGCATTAAATAGCAAAGCCATGAATCAGACCCAGTTCTTTTACTCCTAATTCAGTTCTTCTTGTATTCAATTCAAAAGTACTTATTAATTTCTTACAGTAGACAGACCCCTGTGCCTGGCTGTAGGAAGCAGTGTCGTAGACCTCAGGCCAGATCTTATAGCTTCTTCCCTCTTTCCCTTTCCCACAGCTAGCCCTCTCCCTGTTTCTGAGCCATGAGTTATAGTGATCTAAGGAAGAGATTCCTATCCCTCCTAGCCCATCTTCTACCTGGGGCCTGGCCATACTGACAAGGAACTCATAGTTGGGGGATACTGAGCTCACTGCATTGGGGTGCTTAGCCTTTCCACATATTCCTCATTGCCATCCCCTGAGACATACCCCAGGTTGAAGCCAGCCTAGGTCCTATCTAGAAGTGAATAAATATATGTGTCTGTATGTTTATGCATGTATACCCAAGTCTGTGTATCTCTGTGTGGTTCACATGGGTATCTGTATCTATGTGTACGTGTGTTTGTCTCTGTGTGTGCCTATGTGAGCCCAGAATATTTCACAGTCAGATCTGTCTTTAAAAGAATTCTCCTCCTGCAGTTCTCATCTCTGCTCCTCTTATGTTGGTCACCAAGAATGTGGTCTAGAATGGATTCTTGGAGTTGAGGGGATCCTAAAGTTCATCTAGTCTAGTTCAATGCTCAATGTACAGAAGAAACTGAAGCCTCCAGAGGTAATGAGAGAGGGGAGATGGTTATACTGGCAATCAAGAACCAGGTCAGGGAGCTGTCAGTCTGGCAGAACATAAGATTCAGGACCCCCCACCCCCATATATATATATTCCTAGAGGTAATAGCTACTGGAGTTCATGGTGGGGGTGGCAGTGAATTAGAAGGAAGGAATCAAGTATGTGACATAGTCAGATCTACATTTTAAAAAATCACTTTGACAAGCTGAGGGGAAAAAGCCTGGAGAAGGAGGAGGTATAAGTCAAGGAGACTAACCAAGAAGCTATTGCAGTAGTCCAGGTGAGAGGCGATAAGGACCTGGAGGGAAGGGGAGGAGGTACCAAAGAGATGTTGTGAAGGTAGAAAACAATAAGATTCGTCCAGAGATTAGATAAGTGGTGTAAGTGTGAATGGTGAAGGAAGGGTGACACTGAAGTTGTGAGCCTAGATGACTGGAAGGATAGTGGTGGGATGAAGGGGAAGGTTTAGGGGAGGAGATAATGAGTTATGTTTTGGAACAGTTGAGTTTGAGATGCCTACAGGACATCTAGTTTGGAATGTACAAAGAGTGGTTGGTAATGTGGTCCTGGAGCTCAGGAGAGAGACTAGGGCTGGATACATCCATACATATCATATATAGATAGATAGATAGATAGATAGATAGATTAGATAGATAGATAGATAGATATAGAGAAAGTTTGGAATGTACATATTATATATATATATATATATCTATACATAGATATGTATGCATACATCTATATCTATATCTATATATATCTAGGAATCATCTCTTATAGAGATGAAAATTGAACCAATTTGAGCTGAAATCCAGAACTTAAAGGCAGTGTGAAATAGTAGAAAGAGCACTGAGTTTGGAGTCAGAGGACATGAGTTCAAATATTGCCTCAGATATTTAGATGATGATTGGGCAAGTCATTTACTTCTCTGGGCCTCAGCTGTAAAATGAAGGGGTGTGACAACTAGATTGGCTCTGAAGTCCTTTCCAGTTCTAACTTTATGATGCCATGTCCTTCTAACTCAGCCCATTCAACGACTAGATCACTTGGGTTGTTAGGAAATAATTCTTTGTTTTGAATGGAAACCTGTGTCTCTAACACTTCCACCCATTGAGCCTAGTTCTGTCCTCTGGGCCCATATAAGACAAGTTGAATCCCTTTTCTACTCTCCATACATTGAAGGCTCTGATCATGTCCTTCCAAGTCTCCTCCTTTCTAAACTCTACACTTATTAGCTATGTGGTGACTCTGAGCAATTCTCCCCTCTTTGGACTTCAGTTTTCTCATTTATAAAATAGTGCTATTAATACTGACCTAAATCACATGGTTGGTGTGGGGAAAGCTGTTATAAACCTCAAAGTACTATAAACATTTGGGTTATTGTATTCAGGATAGTTGGCACCTCACAAGCAGCAAAATGTTCATTGAAGTTAGTACCCAAGGAAGAGATATCTCATGCTTTTGTTCCTGGAGGAGGTCTTTTGATTTATCCACACTCTTGGGATATATTTGATAGGGATATCAGGGTAAGGATAAGTGTAGGAACTGTGCAAAGCCCCTAGGTCCTTCAGGTCTTGTGAAACTGTAGCTGTTGTTAATTTCTACTTTTATGAATCATAAGATTTCAAGAGGAGAGAATCTACACATTTTAATAGCCCCAAGAAAGACTACATATATATTCTTTCCCTCCTTTTAAAGATAACAGAACCCATTTTTCTTTTTTTTCACCTTTTCAATTAATTAATTTATTTTTAGTTTTCAACAATCATTTCCATAAACTTCTGAGTTTTAAATTTTCTCCCCCTCCCTCCCCACCTCCCTAGAAGGCCTGTAATCTGATATAGGCTTTATATATACATTCCTATTAAACATATTTTCACATTAGGCATGCTGTAAAGAAGAATTAGAACCAATAGGAGGAGCCACAAGAAAGAAGAAACAAAACAACAAAACAGAAAGGGAAAAAAAAGCAAATAGTATGCTTCGATCTGCATTCGAACTCCATAGTTCTTTCTCTGGAGTGGATAGCATTTTCCATCAAAAGACTTTTGGAGATATCTTAAGCATTGCTGAGAAGAGCTAAGTCTATCAAAATTAGTCATCGCACAATGTGGCGGTTACTGTGTACAATGTTCTCCTGGTTCTGCCCACTTCACTCAGCTAGTCTTTCCAGGTTTTTCTGAAGTCTGCTTGCTCATCATTTCTTATAGCACAATAGTATTCCATTGCATTCATATACCACAACTTGTTCAGCCGTTCCTTAATTAATGGGTATCCCCTCACCACCATAGAAAGAGCTGTTATAAATATTTTTGTACATGTGGGTCCTTTTCCCATGTTTGTGATCTCTTTGGGATACAGCCCTAGAGATACTATTGCTGAGTCAATGGGTATGCACATTTTTATAGCCCTTTGAACATAGCAGAACCCGTTTTTCTTCAAGGAAATTAGGTTGGGTCCTATATTCAATGATTTTTGAAGACCACTTTGGACAATTTTATTTTGAAATTTTCATGCAATACATTGGGATAATTTTGGATGGTTGCAAGTAGTGTTGGGGAATCTGTCTGGCCTTCACTTGAATTTCATTTGTCCTGTGAGGCAACTACCAGGGGGAATATCCATCCTTATCAGGGCACACATTGTCCAGAGCTGAGAAAATAAAACACACCTTTAAGTTTTTAGTGGAAATTTCCTAGGCTACCAGATGGTGATGTCACTCTGGGAAGTCTCTCTTTTCTTCCATGTCTGTATCATTTTGATGCTATTTTTGCACTCTCTAAATCTTGTGTATGTCTATGTGTATATACATGCATCTATGCATGTCTCTGGTGGCTTTACCCCCTTCTCTGTATATTTCTCTGTTTCTGTTTTTGTCTTTCCTGTCTCTATCATTTCATGTTTGGCTCTTCGTTTTTTCTCTTTCTCTCTTCTCTCCATGTTTATTGAGCATCTAGATAGTAGCATTTCCATTTTAAATAAAACATTGCTTCTTCAGTTTTCCAGAATTTGAGAAATTTTCTTGGAACTTATATTCTATCTACTATTCTATTCTCTGTGAATCTAGAAGTCTAGTTTAAGAGGTTACAGTTCTTAGCATCCTTTCCATTCTTCAGATCTGAATATGAGTAGATGAGTAGCACATGAATAAGCTGTAAACTCCTCTGAGTGGGGGATTTGTAACTTTCCATGTGTCTGAGGTGGTGTGGAGTGGTGTGGAGCATGCTGCCAGTGCCCTAGCTTACCCCAAAGGGGAGGCTTGTGGCTTTTAGCAGGGCTTAATAGGACAGAAACTTTGCTCTTTGAGAGCAGAGATCAGTCCAGGCAACTAGGTGAGTAGCTGCGAACTCAATGGATGGAATTTTCCCCTCCAAGTTTGTCTCAGCACCTTACATACCACTTATGTAATCTGTAGTCCTGTGGAATTTTTTGAAAGGTTAAGAGTTAGTTTCTCAAAACACTATTAAAATGTTGGTGACTTATTTTTCACTCATCCCTGTATAAACCATCTTGGTGCCTAGACTGAGTGTTTAATGCTAGCAGTGACATTTTTATAAGTTTCTAAACCAGGAGGTTTGTAATGTAGGGTGTGAACTTATTTATTTAAAATATTTTGATAAATTATTTCTTTACAATTGTCTTTCTTTGAAATCTGTATTTTATTTTATGCATTTAAAAACACTATTCTGAAAAGGCATTTGCAGGTTTCACCAGGCTGACAAAGGGTTCCATGATGGAAAAAAGATTAAGAACCTCTACTCTAAATTATCTCATAACATAGGACTAGAAGGAGATACTGACTCTGTTTTTCAGTTTCATGAACTGAGGAAAGACAATTAAGTGTTGTCAATGCACTGAACTTATAGTAATGGACCTGAGTTCAAACCCTACCTGAGAAATTTATTAAATTGTGACCCTGCACAAAACACTTAAACTTTTTCAGATTCAGTTTTCTTGTCTACCAAAAGGAGATAACAATAGTAGTTACCTAATAGGGTTATTGTGAGGATCAAATGAGATAAGAGGTATAAAGCCCTTTTCAAATGTTAATTTGCTCTGTAAATTCTAGCTAGCATTATCATTCCTATTATTAAAAGATAATTCTTCTCAAAGTACACAATAACCTTGCTCTCCTCTTCAACCAAACATGAAAATTGCTCTGTGACTAATTATAGAATCTGTAGATGAAAGTAACTGACCCAAAACTAGCTGAAATTCAGGCTCTGACTTGCCATGTATAGAATTACCTTAGAGGTTTAAGGGTCTCAGAGGGTATTGAACATAGCCCATAACTTGGCAGGAATTATCTCATATCCCTCAGCAGTGGTAATACAGCTTACACTTGGTAGACTCCAGAAATGGGAAACCTGTGTCCTATAAGGCTGTCCATTCCACTTTAAGAGTGATCTAAGTTTTATGAAGTTTTTTGTTTGCTCCAAGCTCATCCCTATGCAATATAAGTTTAATTATTTTTTTAAAGTTACCTTTTTCTTTTTCAATTAACAAACTTTTGTTTATTCTCTCTCCTACCTCTCACTCCCTCCACCCCAACCACTATTAAGAAAGAAGGGAAGAATACAAAATGTTGAAATAAATATGCTTAGTTAAGCAAAACAAATTCTTACATTAGCTATTTCCAAAATTATGTCTTATTCTGCATGTTGAATCCATCATCTCCCTGCCAAACAGTGAATAATATACATCATTGGTCCCCTGAAATCAGTTGGTCACTACATTGATCAGAATTCTTAAATCCTTCAAAGTTATTCAATTTAATCTTATTGTTGAAATACTCACACATGTGTGCGTGCGCGCACTCACGCACATTGTTCTCTTGGTTCTACTTGCATCACTCTGCATCAGTTCACATGTCTTCCCAAGTTTTTCTGAAACCATTCCTTTCATCATTTATTATGACACAATAACATTCCTACTAATTCCCTTTTCACATGAAATATTTTCACCTATTTGAAGGTCTATTAATGAAAAAGGAATTAAAATGAATATTATGGATTACTAATTATTTTTCCATATAACAGCCTTTCCCAGGTCTTTGAAGACAGCTTTGCATTTCCACTTACTTTTCCCTTCAGACTAAATAACTTGTTTCTTCAGTTTAGAGACACAACTAGAGTGGGTCAACTGGGGCTTTGTCCTAGGAAAGCTGCATCTAGAAAAAGGGGCGTATTTCCCATGCTTTTTATTCCTCTGCTGGAGTAGCCTGGAGAGTCCCTTTGCTTAAGACTGTTTTTCCAACCAACTCATTTCCCCTTCCCCAATCTCCTCTTCTGAGGAGGAACCTTGCCTCTTTACCTCTGAGCCCCCAGCTAGAGACAGTGCTCTGGCAAATTCTCAGTTTTAAATCACTCTCCTCCTATAATTCTTCCCCTCAATCATTTCCTCCCAACTCTAATCCCAATTAGTATACCCAGATTGCCCAATACGTAATTAACACTGTTTATGAGGACAAAATAAGCATTTGAAACAAGGAGAGGCAAGCCAGATTTTCCCGTGCTGAGATGGAGTTTTCTGCAGAGAATGGAGTCTATGTTCCAGTGGAAGTGGTTTCAGCAACACGGCATTTGTCCTAATACACCTCAGACTGATTGCCCCAATCAGCCTTGCTCCCAGATCTTCTCCTTGTGGCAGCTCCTTCTGCCTGTGTTCCCACCTTTCTCACTTCCTGGGGTTTCTCTCAGTCTCTCTTTCTCCAGCTCTGAATCTTGTTGGGGGCTGGGCTCCTTCTCAAGTCTTGCTCCTGCCCTTATTCAAACTACACTAGGCTTTTTAAATTGTTTTACTCTTACCTTGGGTCGGGCCAATCATTTCTTCAATACATATGGCACTGTTTCCTTTCTAATTCATCCAAGACACTTATTCATAAAGGTGTCACCAGACCTGCCTGAATTTTTACAGGTAGTTTGACACCTCTTCATCCCTTTACTTTCTTTGATAAGGGCCTGGGTAACTGCAAGGGCACCTTAGCATAATGTAATATGAATAACATTTTGGTGAAGATGATAACATGAACATGATGGAAATTTGGACAGTTGAGTCACAGAATAAAAAGCATTTCATTCATTCCCCTAGACTTTACAGATTAGACTGAGAGATCTCATTATCATTCTCCCTCTTGCAGGGTGGGAAGCATGTAGCACACAAACCACACTAAGACCTTTTGTTAAAACTTCCACAGTGCCCATAAGAGCAATGTTTCTACCCTCACCATCAGTGAAATAACAAAACCCAGCCCTTAATTGGGTTATCTTCCCAAACCTTTAGAAAATCAAGGATTTTTAAATGTGTAACTCGTGAAATCATCTAGTCCTCATTTAACAAATGAGGTCCGGGGTGAGGGGTGGAAAATGACTTCCTCAAGGTCATATAGTCAAGTAGTAGCAAAGCTGGGACTAACAGCCAGGTCACCTTACTCCTGTCTTATTGCTTTTTTTTTCTTTTTCTTCTTTTTAGTTTTCAACATTCACTTTTATAAGATTTTGAGTTCTAAATTTTTTCTCCCTCCATTCCCTCTGCCCTCCTCAAGACAGCATACAATCTGATATAGGCTATACATGTACAATCATATTAAGTGTATTTCCATATCCTGGTGCTTTTTTCACTCTTCACTACTTTAGGGTAGAGAACATCCCCCTCACTCCACCCCCCCGCCCTGTTTTTGTCCATTGAAGGAGATTAAGGAACAATATAAAAGAATTAATTGAGGTTCAAAAACAAAAAAAAAATCAATTTTTTTTTCTTGTGCTCAACTCTCCTGTCTTTAAAACTTTGAAAAACACAAATTCCTATTCAATAGGTACCCTTCTTAGAAGTCAATAGCTCTAGAAGGGACTTTAGCAGTCATGGAGTCCTCATTGATCACCTTTGATAATAGAGTGCTCAATGAAATAAGAAACTGGGGAAAATGAAGGGAAGAATTAAACCCTCCCAGGTCCTAAAAAAAGTCAAATCTTACCATGTTGTATGTTTATGAGAAAGTGTTTGTGGGAATGCATATGTAAAAAGTACGCATAAGTAAAATATTTTGTCAAAATAACATTGGGATGTATATTTATTTCATAAATAACTTGATTCTCTTCCTGCAAAGGTGTTTTTCAAAGGATTCACAGTGAATACCATCCGGGGGTTCCCAATGAGTGCCACCATGTTTCTTGGATATGAACTTTCACTCCAGATATTGAAGGGAAACCAAACAGTGACGAATCCCTGAGTTCCAGGTCAACTTTGTTCATTTGTAAGTATCTATCTTAGAGAGGAAAGACTTCCTAAGATGGTGGGGGGGGGGGTGACAAATCGTCTTTGTCTTCCTAACATTGACTATTTGGTGTGGGAATTATGACTGGAGTCATCATACAAAAGCACCATTCAGTGTCTATCTGTGCACAGTGGTGTGCTAGATACTAACCAGATTATAACCCAGTCGCGGTGTCCCCTTTCTTTAACTTTACACCATCGAAGAAGGTTCAGAAAGCTGTGTTTAGAACATCTGATGGGAATGGGTTGAAAGCTTTTTTCACTCTTACTTCCCACTTCTTTTTTTCCTCTTCTCTCCTTTTTCTTTTCTTTTTCCTTTATCTTGTGATTCCATTTTTTCTATACTGTCTTTTTCTTCTCTTGATTGGGCTTACTTGGTCTTGATGCAATTTGAAAAATATTCAGGTGCTTTCTACTTATATCCCACTGTACCAGGCAAAGGGCACTCACAAAAATGGGGAGGGAGAGAGAGGGAGAGAGAGAGGGAGAGAGAGAGACACACACACACACACACAGACAGACAGAGACAGAGACACAGAGACACAGACAGAGAGAGACACAGACAGAGACACAGACAGAGAGAGAGACAGAGACACAGACAGAGAGAGAGACAGAGACAGAGAGACAGGGCGAGGAGAAAGAGAGGGAGAGGGAAAGGGAAAGGGAAAGGGAGAAACTCTGCTCTCATTCTACTTGACAGTGGTCACCGGAGATAATATGTTTAGCGTAGATATTGGAACTCAGGACTCAGCTCAAATGCCACCTCCTACATATGCAAGTCCCTCCAGCTGCTATAGCTTCAGAATATATTTCCATTGGGTTGGAACCAATTACCATATTTTACACAATTATAACTGAAGAGTATGAATTTGGATACATGCAAGTACTTCACAGGACATAGTTGTGTGTGCTTATGTGTCTGTATATGAACACATATAAGTAAATACTCTATGTAGTATGCTATATAATATATACATATATAAATAAAATCTATACATGTGCATATATAGCTATCGCATTTTATGTGTGTATGTATGCACATATATACATACATATACACAAGTTCTTTGATAGCAGGGATCATTTCATTTTTTATCTTTGCATCCCTAGTACCCAGCAGAGAGCCTGGCACACATTAGGTATTTAATAAATGCTTGTTTGTTGATTAATTGGATAAAATTAGGCACCAAATACCTCCTTCTACTCATCAGTAAAATGACCTGGAGAAGAAAATGGCAAACCATTCTAGCATCTTCACCAAGAAAACCCTAAATGGAAGCATGAAGAGTTGGACACTACTGTAAAATGACTGAAGGAAAACCTCCTTCTATGCCCATTGACTATTCTGTCTTTCCTATGTAATATAATTAGGAACATGGATCTGGATGTCAGAAAATTTGTGTTCTAGTCCACTGTGACCTTAGGAAAGTTATTTCATTCACTGATTCATTCAGTAAACATCTGATAAATACCTATTCAATGAAAAGCACTGTGCTAGGTGCTAAGAGAGGTAAGTCATAGTCCTTGACTTCATTGAACTGAGAGTCTGATAGGAGGATACACAAACAGATGACGAGAACTAGGACTTTAAGAGATAATAAGGTGCTATAGGGCGTTTTCAAATGGAGACAGGACATAATCAGAGCTCTGTATAAAAATATTATTCTAATAGCAGTGTGAAGGACAGAGAGGAGTAGGGGAGAGCATGGTTATGGGAAGGCCAACAAAGAGAGTATCATAATCATCCAAATAGATGGTAATATCAGTGAAGCTTCTGTGTGTTTCACTTTCATCATCTGTAAAATGAAGGAATTGAACCAGATTATCACCCAAATTCACATCACTAAAATTTTTTTTCTTTAGAGATCCTTCTTATCATAAGATTAGGTTATATAAATCATACCATATGGTAAGTTTATGTAAAAAAAGTTAAATAGGACTAAACAAGCAAACCTTAAATATATGGTAAAACATTAACTAAATGATTCCATTTAATCAAGGAATGGGTTATTTTCATTCACTGAAGCCCTCCCTCACCCAAACCATAAGAGTTAAAAATCCTTTTAGAATGTCTGAATCTATTTTTTCTGCCTGCATGACTGATTGATTTTGTACTGACCAAGATTCTTAGAAAAGATCATCATTCTGAATGCTAATGGAATTCTTTGACATTTTGGGTTCAAAAAAAGTTCTCAGCTGCCATGAAGTATAGGAAGCATGAGCTGGATTCTCAGCCAATATAACACTTAAATTTTGAAGGAGATAGTCATAGAAAGAAAACTGGGCTAGGAATCAGAGTACCTAAATTCAAGACCTCCCCTGACACTTAGAAACTGACCTTAAGCAAATCACTTAACTTCTCAAAATCTAAATTTTCTCTTCTGCAAAATAGGAATAACACTACATGCACTTCCCTGGTATGGTTGTGAAGAAGTGAACTGTGAAGTTTTCTATAAATGAATGCCTCTGTTACGGTGATCATTGCACCTTTAAGGGAAAGGTCCTGGAGCTTGGACCCATTCTGCACTAAATATAGCACATGTCATAGGAGTGCAGATGACATGAAAGGAAGAGAGAGAATAAGTATTTCTATGTGCCTTCTATGTTCCAGTCACTGTGCTGAGCACTTTACAATATTATCTCATTTAATCACTCACAATAAACTTTGTGAAGTAGGCGCTGTCATTATTCCCATTTTATATTTGAGGAAATTGAGGCAAACAGAAATTAAGTGACTTGAAGTCACGTAGCCAGTAAGTGTCAGAATCCGAATTTGAACCCAGGTCTTCCTGACTTCAGGCCCAGCACTTTATTCACTGTGTTACCAGCTACCTCTGGAAGGGATTGCAAACACAATGGAAAACAGGTTCAGGATCCAAAGGGATCATATCAGGAGAGAGCCCTGGACTGACTTGCATAAGATGAAATCTAATAGGGTAAATTATAAAGTCTTAGACTTGGACACAGAGTATCACCTTCATAGCTCCAAGATGGTGCAATTATGGTTAGACAGCAGTCATTCTGAAAAAGATCTGGGTATTTTAGAGGTCTGCAAGCTCACTAAGAATCAGTGTGATGTGGCATCCAAAAAAGTCAATGCAATCTTGGGCAACATTAGATGGGCATGGCTTCCAGCAATAGAGAGATGATAATTACTCTGTTCTCTGCCCTTGTCAAACCTGATCTGAAGTATTCTGTTCACTTCTGGATCCTACAGTTTAAGAAGGATATTTATAAACTGGAGAATGTCCAGAGGTGGGTAACCAAGGATCCGATATGTGTGTGTGTGTACATGGTACACATGTGTGAGTGAGGATGTACATGGTGTGTGAGGATCTGATGAAGCAACTGAGGACAACATTCAGGGAGGATAAAATAGTTGTTCTCAAGTTTTTGAAAGTCTACCATCTGAAGAAGGGATTTATGTTATTTTGTTTGGCCCCAGAGGACAGAACCAGGAACAATGGGTGAAAGTTGAAAATTGGTCAACTTTAGCTCAATGTCAGGAAAAATCTTCATACTATTAAAACTATCCAAAAGTGATTTGAATGGGCTACTTTGAGAGATGGTGGGATTGTCCTCCTTAGAAATCTTCAAACAGAGACTGGAGGACCACTTGTTGAGAGTGTTGTAGTAACGCTTTAGGGTTAGTCGGCTCCTGAGGTCTCTTCCATTTCTCATATTCTGTGATTCTGGATGTTTTGTTGTTGTTGTTTTAATTAAATGAAATGTTTTAGTTTATTTGCTTGTTATTTGATCTTTTTCATGAAACGCAACAAAAAGTTCTGGAAAATTGAAAGTTCTGGTTTATTGGTATTTTTATATTTTGTGTTGGTCCCAGTACAGCAATAAGAATTTGGAAACAACTTTATGTAACCCAATTTTGTTTTCCCAATATGTGTGAGGTAACATGGCCTCAATGGTAAATATCCAGGAATGGGAGTCAGAGTACCTAAGTTCAGATTGGCTCTATTATTTATCACCCATGTCATGTTGGGCTTATCCCTATCTTATCCCTTAATCTCTATAAGCCTCAGTTTCTTCACCTGTAAAAGAAGGGGGTTGCTGTATGTAATAGGTTTCATAAGCAGTTTTCTTTTTCTTTTCTACTTTGCATATAGAAATGCTGGTGATTCTGTGTGTTTGGGTGTAAGTCCAGAATTTTAAAAAAAAGAAGTAAAATGAGGGGAGTTGGATATGATAACCTGTTATATTCCTTCCACAAATCTATGATCTTATGATCCAATCCTGAACTGTTTCTAAAGGTGAGAAAGACAACAGATTTGCCACAGCACCCCCAGGTGACCACCCACTTCTATATGTGGATACACTAGTCATTTACTTCTTCAGCAGAAGGGAGGAAGTTGGCCACAAAGTGGGAAATCATTTGATTTTGTCATTAGAATCACAGAAGGCAGAATAGTTTCTCTTCCAGAATAAGAGCTTTTGCCCTGTGATTAACAGGTAGTCCTGAGGGCTTCCCGAACACCTTTTCAAGATGATGTGGGGGAGGGTGGGAGAACTATGGCTTACTCAAAAGATCAAAGATTTATAGTTGAAAGGGACTTTGGAAGTCAATGAGTCCAAAACCTTCATTTTGCAGGTGAGAAAACCTAGGTGCTCTTATTTCTAGTCCAGCCGGATGGAAAGCTCTGCAGGTTCAAAGTGACAAAACCTCATCTTCTGTTTTGGTCAGGGTCATTCCACTTTAGGCTTCCAACTAGACTGGAGGCTGGATCTGAGACCACTTTCCACTACTGGGGCCAGATCCATGCTACTGCTGCATGTATGACAGTGGGGGATCTCAACATACCCCTTTCAAACCTAGATAAATCTCACCCCAAAATAAACCAGAAAGAAGTATGGACCTGAGTAGAATTTTAGAAAAAAACTGATATTATAGCCTTATGATGATTATTGAAGGGAAATAGAAAAAGGGTATATTTCTCATCTGTGCATGGTACCTTTACAAAAACTGACCGTGTATTAAAACAAAAACCTTACAGATAAATGCAGAAAAGTAGAATTATTGAACACATCTTTTATGAACTAAAATTCAAAAAAAAAATCAGTTAAATAAAGAACCACTGAAAAAAGAGAGACTAGATAACTTGAGCCTAAACAACCAATGGATCCAAGAACAAATCATAGACACAATAAATAATTTCATGAAGATAATGACAACAATAAGACAACCTACCAGAGTATTTGGAATGAAACTAAAATAATCCTTAGAGGAAAATTTATATCTCTAAACAGTTTCAGCAACAAAAGAAGGAACAAATTAGCAAATTGGCCATACAATTGAAAAATGTACAGAACAATTAAAAAACCCAATTAAACTTAATATAGAAAATTTTAAAAACAGAAGATAATAAGAAGTTTGAAAGAAAAAATTCATTTAATAAAATAAGAAACTATTTGGGAAAAACACAAGAGAAAAGATGAATCATTAGCTAATTTGATATGAGAAAAGAAATAGGAAAACCAAATTAGATGAATTTACACCCCAGTGAAGAAGAAATAAAGGAAATTATTAGAAACCATTTTGCCCAAATAGATCCTAATAAAACTGAACCCTCTAAGTGAAATGGATGAATATTTTAAAAATCCCCAGTTTAACAGAATAAGAAAAAGAGGAATTAAATAACCCAGTCATGGAAAAAGAAATTGAACATTCCATAAATGAAATCCCAAAAGGGAAATTAAAGCAAAACAAAACAACCAGGACCAGATGGATTTGTGAGTGAATTCTATGAACATTCAAAGAACAATTAATTCCAATATTACATAAGCTTTCCCAGAAAAAATAGGAAAAGAGAGGTCTTACCAAATTTCTTTTACGATCCAAATATGGTCTTCATATCTAGGGAAACTCAAAACAGAGAAATAAAACTAGAGATCAACATCCTCGAAAAATTTAAATGATCAAAATATACTACAAAGCAATAATTTTCAAGCAATCAGAAAACTGTAATTTAGTAACTCTGAGATTTTACCTCACAACCATCAGATTGGCAAAGTTACAAAAATGGAAAATGACAAATTCTAGAGGGCCATAGGAAACAGACACATTTAGGCACTGGTGAAGCTATGAAAATGGTTTAGCCATTCTGGAAAGCAATTGGGAACTATTCCCCAAAAGTTATTAAATTCTTCGTACCTAGTAATGCCATTACTAGTTCTATACCCCAAAGAGGTTAAAGAAAGAGGAAAAGATACATATTTACAACAATGTTTTAGCAGTTCTTTTTGTAGTAGCAAAAAACCTGGAAATGTAAAAAGTGTCCATCATTTCAGGAATGGCTGAACACATTATGGTATATAAATGTGATGGAGTGCTATTATACTATAAGAAATGATGAAGGGGACAGTTTCAAAGAAACCTGGAGAAACTTGCATGTACTTATGCAGAGTGAAGTGAGCAGAACCAGAAGAGAACAGTTTATATAATAACAACATTATAAAGATAAACCACTTTGAAAGACTTAACTCTGATCAACTCAGTGACCAATCATCATTCCAGATGACTTTCAGTGAAATATACTACCTACTTTCTGACAGAAAAATTAGGAGCTCAGGATGCATATTGAGACATTTTTGGACATGATCATGTAGAATTTTTGTGGGGGGAGGGGTTTGGCTATGCATATTTGTTACAAGGTCTTTATTTTTCTTTCTTTTTTTGTGGGGTTAAGGTGGGAGTGGGAGAAGGTAGATTTTTTTTCTAATGTGAAAGTTTTTAGATTTTTTCCAATTACATGCAAAAACTATTTTTAAAGAAATGTTTTAGTTCCAAATTCTCTCCCTTCCTCCCTCCTTCCTTCCCTGCCCCCTTCCTTAAGGAAGGCAAGCAATTTGATACAGATTATACATGTGCAGTCATGCAAAATGTATTTCCACATTAGTCATGTTGCAAAAGAAAACACAGACCAAAAAAAAAGTGAAGAAAAAAGAAAGTTAATTTAAAAAAAATATGCTTTGATCTGCATTCAGACTCCACCAGTTCTTTGTCTGGAGGTGGATAGCATTTTCCATCATAAGTCCTTTAGAATGGATACTTGTATTGCTGAGAATAGCTAAGTCATGCACAGTTGGTCATTGTATAATATTACTGTTACTGTGTACAATGGTCTCATGGTTTTCCTCACTTCATTTTGCATCAGTTAATGTAAATCTTTCTAGGTTTGAGAAGATAGTTTTTTTGTTAATTGATTTTTTAAAATTAGTTTTTAAAAAAGTAAAGAAATAATCTGCATATGAAAAGAGTACAGAGAAAATAAACAGGAAATTTTGAAAACAGATTTAAACCTACTCTAGCTATCTTTGTTACACTCAATAAAACACTTTATTCACTAGCAAGGCATGTTCTTTTAAGTGCTGGCAAGTTTATTGAGTAAACTTGAGTCCTTCACTAGTTATAATACTTCTATAAAAAGTGCATTTTACTACATTGTCTGCAATATAGAGTTAGTGACACAGTGAAGAGAATACTGGGCCTGAAGTCAAGAAGACTAGAGTTCAAATCCAGTCATTTTTTGTATAATTCTGGGAAGTTTGTTTAACCTCTGTCTGCCTCAGTTTCCTCAACTCTAAAATCAGTATAATAATAGCACCTATCTCACAGTTTTGTGGTAAGGATAAATGAGATGATATTTGAAAAAGCACTTAGTACAGTACCTGGCACATAGTAGATGGTTAATAAATAGCTGATCTCTTCCCTTCTTCCTACAACTGCCAAACTTTATTCACTGATTGCAAAGAAAACATTTTAAAGAATGAACTTCAAGTTGTGTTTTCAATGATAAAAACTTTTGCTCATTTTTCCTTAAAAAATGAATCAAACTTTTTTCTGGGAAAAAACACATTTTAAATTTATATTTGAAGAAAATTTTATTGATACCTTATATCTTGCATTGTGCAACATATTACTCACTTCTCCCCCACCTAGAGACTCATTCCATAAGATTAAAAAAAATAGGCAATGACCATTCAGCAAAACAAATAAGATACTAAAAAAGAGTCTGGCTATATTAAATGTTTCATACCAGAACCTCCCCACCTCTGCAAAGAGGCAGGAATGAGATGCCTTCTCCTAGGTCTTCTTTGGGCCACTCCGGAGCATTAGAATTTTGCAACGTTCAGTTTCAATTGTCCCATTTTTGATGTTCTTTCCAGTTATGTGCTTTGTTGTAGTCCTCACTGACTACTGTGAATCTCTGGAAAGTGCATTTTGCTGCATTGTCTACAACTGTTCACCTTTATTCCCTGCGTATAAAAATGACCTAGTAGTCATTTCGCCTTCAGACTGTGGCTTCACTAATGAAACTTTTGAACATTTTTTTCTTTAAGAAATCAAGGGGGAGCTAGTGGCACAGTGGGTAGAGCACAGGCCTTGGAGTCAGGCCTCAGACACTTGACACATACTAGCTGTGTGACCCTGGGCAAGTCATTGAATCCCATCGACTAGCCAAAAAGAAAAAAAAAAGAAAAAAAAAGAAATCAATCAAAACTTCTTTGTCTAGAAAAACAATCTATACTTTAATTTTATAATAGTTTTTGAAAGTTTGTTTCCTTAATCAAGAAATTTTGTGCTAATACAGCCAATGTGTGCATTTAGTAAAACGATGCCAGTTGAAATAAGAAATGGAATAAATTAGTCATGAAAATGTCCATTTTGGAATTTAAGATCAAAAATCTAGAGTTGGAAGGGATCTCAGAGGCCATTTAGTCCTTATCTTAGAGTTGAGGAAACTGAGGCCCAGGTATAGTAAGTAACTTGCCCAAGGTCATACAGTGTCAGAGGCTGGATATGAATGTAGGTCCTTTAAGTCTTTCCACCATACACTTTTCTTTCTCAAAGAGAAGAAATTAAAAAGACTCCCTAACTGATTTGTTATCTGTTTTTCTTTTCCATCTCCTTCCTACTCCCCACTTTTTTTTTTCAGGAGTGATTTCATCTGAGAAAGACTTTTTATTCTCCTGAACCAACTCGCAGACTGTCCTCTGAAACTGGGAACTCTGGAGAATTTTTTCATGGAACACATACTTCCTCAGCTGAAGACTAGCTCCCTCTTGACTTGCATCTTTGCACCATTTATGCCTTCAGAGATATACTCGGCAAACTAGCTTTTTAATGACCCTTTGTTCACAAATTTTAAGAACCTCAATCATTATTCCCTTGGCTGGAGTCAGAGAATACAACACGTGGTCAATGAAACATCTCTCCTTCCCTCTGAAGGAAAGTTTTATTGACAGTCATTTACTCTGCATCTGATGTGGTCACTGGGTTAAATATAGGTTCATTCTTGACAAGGCGTGGTGGACCTGGTTCACTATAACCTTCTTAAATTCTTTGGTCTCTTTGTGGACTTTGAAGTTGTCACTAAGTTTTGAAATAAAACGTTTAAAATTCTACACAGATTATTTCTTTGTAATGCACGTAGTTGCATTTTTTTTCTGGAATCTAAGAATCCTAGAACAATGATTGCTTTCCTTAGAGCCTGGATCATATGATCGTAGCTAGAGAGCTTGAAAGGATCGTGGGACCATAAGATCATAGACCTAGAGCTGAAAGGAACCTCGAAGTTCATCAAATCCAACCCCCTCATTTTACCCTTGAAGAACGTGAGGCACAGAAAGGTTACATGACTTGCCCAGGATCTCACAGTGTCTGAGATAGGTTTCAAACTTAGGTCTTCCTGGAGCCGATGTTCTTCCCATTATACTAAAATAACTTTGAAGATAGCTGTGACCCCAAGAAAGAACCACTTTAAGGCAAGCAATAATGAAGGATGCTAATAACTCACTCGTTTTGCTTCTTGGATGCCTTTGCTTGATTTGGGTTGGGGGTAGACTTACAAATTTCCCTCATGAAGCTTTTAATATAATATTCATATACCAATGATTCACTACTGAACTAACAAGACTTTTATTATAAAAATGATGACTGTTGAGAGTATTGCAGAAAATCTCTCCTACCCTTTTCCCATTAAAATTAGCATTGAAAGGAAAAAAAAAAAAAACAAAAAACTTTTCCTCAGCTTAAAAAGATCTCCAGGAAGAGATTCTGAGCTTTGACAGGCTTAAGGGTAATGATCACTCTCTAGGCCTTCTGTTTGTATTGATAAACAAAAAATATTTTTTTTCTGTATCCTTGGTTCATTACCTCAAATTCAGTATTTTTTCTCAACATGGTTATGAAGCCCTTTTGGTAATGTGCACAGATGCTTTAGCTTCAGAGAAGCGGTTAGAAACTTGCAAATGTTTGTGACCTTGATCCTTACACCTCCCTCACTCTCCCTTGGTTTTACTTAAGTAATTCTAAATAACTATTCAAAAACTGTTATTGACAGTACCCATGAATGGAGGCCAAACTTTTGGCAAAATGGAATTCTAGCTGAAAGCAAATATATGAGCCCTTTGGTTCTGGGCTCTAGAATAGCTCTTTGCCTTTATTTTTTTTAATCCCTCAGACAAGAAGAGGACTAGACCTGCTTTCTCCACTATATTCAAGCCCCAGGGGTTTCTTTACTTGTTTTATACTAGATCATGCCCCAGAAATTCTGTAGTAGTAATCATTAAGCCAATCAGTTAGCATTTATTAAATGCCTACTACATGCCAGGAACTGTGCTAAGTGATGGGCAAAAACCAGTTCTGGCTCTCAAGGAATTCACAATCTAGTAAGGGACACAATATGCAAACAACAAATTTGTATATAAATACAATACGTACAGATTAAATTGGAGGTGCTCTCACAGAGAAGGCACTAAAATTAAGGACTCAAAAAGGTTTCTTGCAGAAGGTAGGGCTTTAGCTGAGACTTGAAGGAGGCCAGGGATGTGAGGAGGCTGAGATGAGGAAGGAGTGCATTCCAGATATGGTGGATATTCTGTGAAAACACTTGGAGTTATGAGATGGAGATTAATGTTTGCAGAAGAGCAAGAAGGCCAATGTCACTAGATCAAAGAGTATGTAGAGGGGAATAAGGTATAAGAACAATTGAAAGGTAGAAAGGAGCCAGGTTATAAATGGCATTGAAAGTCAAACAGAGAATTTTATAAATGATCCTGGAAGTGATAGCAAGCCATTGGAGTTTATTGAGTAGGGAAGTGTTATGGTCAGACCTACACCATAATAAGATCCATTTGAGCACTATAAGAAATGATGAGCAGACAGGTTTCAGAAAAACCTGCAAAGACTTACTTGAACTGATGCATAACCAAGAGAACATTGTCCACAGTGACAGTAAAATTGTGTGATGATAACTATGAATGACTTAGATCCTGGAGCAATACAATGATCCAAGACAATTCCAAAGGACTCATGATGGAAAATACTATCCACATCCAGAGAAAGAACTGATGGATCTGAATGCAGATTGAAGCTTACTATTTTCACTTTCTTTATTTTTTACTGTTTTTTTTCTTTTGGTCTGTTTTTTCTTTCAAAATATGATTAATATGGAAATATATTTTACATATATTGCACATATAAAACCTATATCAAATTACTTACCATTTTGGGAAGGGAGAGGGAGGTAGAAAAATTTGGAACTCAAAATTTTGTAAAAATGAATGTTAAAATTTTTCTTTACACATGATTGAAAAAATAAAAGAAAAAAAAAGATCAATTTGATATCTGAGTTGAGGATAATTTGGGAGAGATATGAGGCAGGGAGACCAACCAGCAAGCTATTGCAATAGTCTAGGCAGGAGATAATGAGGGCATGGACCAGGGTGGTAGCAATATCAGAAAGAGAAGTGGGTATATATGAGTGATGTTTTGAAGGTAGAAATGGCAAGAAACTCTCTCAGATTATAAATTCTGTAACAGTGGCTCATTTGTATTAGGAGAGAGAGTTTGCAAGTCAGGAGCTCCCTATACCAAGGAAATCCCAAATCTGGATCAAAACAACAAAAAGGCATCATTCAGGATAGCTCGGTGGTATTTGTCATCCATTATACATGACTAACTCACTTCCGTTTCTGGTGACACATGCGCTTGTAGAGTTCTCATACCACTTGTCACGTGTGTGCCATTATTGGCACACTGTTATGATATGTCTGATCACACAGGGAGTAAGTGTCAAGGGTGAGTTTTGAACCCAGGTCATTTGACTCTACAGTCAATGTTCTTTCTAGTATAGTATGCTGCTTCTTATTTCATGATTTGCAGCCATGGAGTATCATTAGGAGAATATTGGTGTTAAAGTTAACGACTGCTTCCACAAGAAACAACTTGGTATCACTCAAAGTGCTATATAATTTTTGAAATACAATCTAGTTTAGTGCCTTTTTCTTACTGAATTCTGAGACCGCTGATCAAATGCTATATCTGTTCAAGATGCACACACACACACACACACACACACACACTACTAAAAAACTTTAATTTGTTAAAAAGTATCACAGATAATGAATCAATATCAACATTTAGCAAATATGCATCAAATAATATAGCATATTAATACTTCCAGGAAAAGCTGAAGGAATTAAAAGGAGAAATAGATAGTACAAATAGTGGGGATAGTGGGGATTTCAATGTACCCCTTTCAGATCTAGAGAAATCTAACCAAAAGAATAAATAATAAAGAAGTTATGGACCAGAGTAGAATTTTAGAAAAGTTAGATATGGAGATATCAGGTAACTACTGAATGGGAATAAGAAAGGGAACACACACACACATCCATACACTCACACACACATCCACACACAGTAGTTTAGTATATAAGGTACTAAAGTTACTTTCAGAGATACCATATATGCTAGTAGTTTTGTGTGTGTGTGGATGTGTGTGTGTGTAGATATATGATTATATATACACACATATATATTATGCATATATTATTCTGTTTCAAAGGTACCATGCACAATAAGGAATATATTTAATATTACATATTCACATATTTATTATATATTGTATGTAATAACATATAAAATATAATATTTATATATATTCCTTGCATGTTAATATTTAAGAAATTGACTTTGCTAGGGCATTAAATCCTCATAAAACTGCAAAAGTGAGAAATATTAAACATATTTTATGTAAGGATCATTGAAAAAAGTATTAAAATTAATTGGAGACTAATCAACTAGAGCATAAAGAATTGGTGAGTCAAACATATCATAAAATCAATAGATAATTTCATTAAAGATAATAACAACAATAATACAACATATGAAAATTTTGGGAATGTAGTTATGATGGTACTTAGGGGAAATTTTTATCTCTAAACACTTTCATCAACAAAATAGAGAAAGAACAAATCAACAAATGGGACATGCAACAGAAAAAAAATGACTAGAAAGCCAACAGTTTAAAAAAAATAAAATCCTGAAAATCAAAAGCTACATTAATAAAATTGAAAGCACCCAAAATTTGAATTAATAAATAAAATTAAGGGCTGTTTTGTAAAAATAAATAATTAAAAGAGATAAATCATTAGCTAATTTTATTTTAAAAAGAAAAAGCAAAACCTAATTACCAGTATTAAAAATGAAAATGTTCGCAATAAATTCACAATAAATGAATAAGAAATAAAGGAAATTGCTAGAAAATATTTTGCCCAATTATATTCTAATAAAATGGACACACTAAATGAAATGGATGAATTTTTATTGTTGTTGATGCTCTTCAGATGTGTCCAACTCTTCGTGATCCCATTTTTGCTTGGCAAAAATAGTGGAAGAGTTTGCCATTTCCTTCTCCAGTTCATTTTATAGCTGAGAAACTGGGACAAACAGGATTATGTGACTCGCCCAGGGTCACACAAATAATAACTGTCTGAGTCTGGATTTGGACTCATGTATTTGGGTCTTTCTGATAAAATTTTAAAAGCTGTCGCACAAACAATCCAATACAACTAAGATTAGAAAAGAAACAACTGGGGGGCTGGTGTGGGGTTGATATTTGCAGTAAGTTTCTCTGCTAAAGGCCTAGTTTTCAAGATACATAAACAGATTCAAATTTATAAGAGCAAGAGCCTCTTTGATAAATGGTCTAAAGTAAATCCCAAAAGGATTTATTTTGTCAAAATTTGGATTCAATCAAAGAGCTGCATTTGAGGACCACATGTGGCCTCGAGGCTGCGTTCCACGCTCCTAGTCTAAAGATATGAATAGGCCATTCTCAAGGGAAGAATCCCAGGTTATCAACAGCCTTATGAAAAAATGTTCCAAATAACTAGTAGACAAATGCAAATTAGAGTAATTCCAAGATTTTATCTCACACTCATCAGATAATGAAAGATATAAAAACAAAAACAAAATGATAAATGTTAAAGAGAGTGTGGGAACACAGACTTAGACTAAAGTATTAGTGGCAGAGCTGTGACTTTATTCAGCCATTTTGTAAAGCTATCTGCAGCATTCATA